TGCATCGACAGAGGTGTAACGAATGTTCTGGTACCAAGAACATTAATATCATCCTGCAAAACAAAAGAAATATAACGAATGTTCTGGAACCAAGAACATTAATATCATCCTGCATCGATAGAGGTGTAACGAATGTTCATCGTACCAGAACAGGAATGACGTAACAAGGTCCTCATCATCTGTCCAAAAGTTTCCGTGAAAATTTATATAAACAATATAGACGCCACCCTATGGTTAGTTTTATAAATTATAATAAAAATCACGTGGAAGTAGAGCCCTATTATATATAAAAAAAAACATATTTATAAATACGTAAACTTTGTTAAGTGTTGCGCACGCGCATTGACAGAATGTTTAAGCCAATAGGAATATTAAGAAACTCACAGAATGAACTTTTAAGATCATCCATGTTATTAATTGAAATAAACGTTTACAAAACTTGTTGAACTACACATTTATTTATATTACAGAAAAGTAAATTAAATCATGTACGACATACTACTGCAGATATATTAATCACTTTGAAACTCCCTACAAAAAAATATTTTACATATCGCTCTGCTGTTTAACATTAATGTTATCAGAGAAACGAGGCTTAAGATAGAACTTTAGTAAGTTAACATATATAAAAAAATGGTTCGTTTTGAGACACGATACCACGAGCAGAAGCCTTGCGTCATGATTGTTTGATTTAATGGCGACGTACGTTCTTACAACTTGGTACATCAAAATACAAAGATAAGAATACTGAATATTAAAAAAAAAAACGAAACATGCAAGCTGGTTCATTGAAAACACAGATATCTAAAAAATAAACAGGTTTACCCTAAAATCATTGGTAATGCTTGTTAATGGTCCCGTTCTTCGTTAGACTGTATCTAACTGGTTACAATAAATAACTTTTAAACGACAGTTTCTTCTAGGCTGTGAAACACGTTCTTCTTCTTGCATGTATACAGTAGAGTAACGAGCTGTTTTGTGGAGCTAATTACAGATGACAGCGCCACCGTAACACAACTTGTTGACTTATGATCGTTATTAGGGCGTTTTAATTTTTACGACGCAACAGCGACTAAAAACTCTTGAACCATATCTGAACCTGAAAAAACTCCCTGTGCGCTTATTTAAGCCTAAAAACTCTTGAATCACATTGAACGTGATAAAACTTCGTGTGTTCTTATCTAAGCCTAAAGACTCTTGAACTATATTTGAACTTGAAAAAACTCCCTGTGTGCTTATCTAAGTCTAAAGACTCTTGAACCATATTTGAACTGGAAAAACTCCCTGTGTGCTTATCTAAGCCTAAAAACTCTTGAACTATATTTGAACTTGAAAAAACTCCCTGTGTGCTTATCTAAGCCTAAAGACTCTTGAACCATATTTGAACTGGAAAAACTCCCTGTGTGCTTATCTAAGCCTAAAGACTCTTGAACCATATTTGAACTGGAAAAACTCCCTGTGTGCTTATCTAAGCCTAAAAACTCTTGAACCATATTTGAACTTGAAAAAACTCCCTGTGTGCTTATCTAAGTCTAAAGACTCTTTAACCATATTTGAGCTTGAAAAAACTCCCTGTGTGCTTATCTAAGCCTAAAAACTCTTGAACCATATTTGAACTTGAAAAAACTCCCTGTGTGCTTATCTAAGCCTAAAACTCTTCATAATCTTATAACTGTCGTATGAAAATAAGATGGAACTTGGATGAACACAAACTATTTATTTTATTGAGTATTAAGTTACATAAGATTGTAAACACACGAACGACATGGATGTATTTTATGTTTACGTTTTTTTACTGCAGGTTTAAAACAGTTCCAAGCTTGTGGTCAACTAATATTTTAGTTTATCTTGACACGTGTATAACGAATTGAAGTTTGTTTATGGTGGATCTTCTAACCTGCCTAGTACAGAATCTACGAGAACCACGAATTTACCTT